AGATAGATAGATAGATATACTGTATATATCTGTGTGTTCCAGGTATGTTCGCCTGAGAGGGGGGGAGTATGCCTCTCAGGTGGCCTGCACCTATTCTATGGATACCTCCGGTGTAGGAAGTGTGTGGAGAAGGCTGTCTGGGCAACGGATGAAGTGGAAGAAAATGGATGGATGGAATTTGATCGTTTTTGATTTTACTGTGTGTGCATAGTTTTTGTATTTGTGTGAGTTTGTGCGTGTGTGTATGCCTATGTGTGGTTGTGTGTGCTTGTGCGTGTGTGTGTGTTTGTGTGTGCACGGAATGTGTGTATTACTTGGGTATAAAATGATGTGTTTGCTATAAAATATAAAAAGAATATTTCTTTGCCTGGAATGTTTCACTGTTTATGATTTACTACCATCATGAAATAGAAATGAAGTTTACGGTCACATTACTGATCAGATCTATGGAAGGTGACAGAATTCAACCATATGTATACATTCCCTTTTCCTGTCAACATGTTTATGAAGATTCAGATCAGCATTTATTAAGTGTACGTTATGTAGTCTGTTTGTTTAATGCTTTCTCAAACTGAGATTGTACAGGTAACTGTCAAATAACTGTCACTACTTCTTTTAAAAAAATCTATTTTGTTTTTCTTTTAATGTGAAAAAGCGGCTTTTCACTGCAACATTTTTATCTATTTCAGATTATGGAGACCTGATATATTTGAAGGCCTCAACTCAAAGTCTTCATCAGATCGACACTTTGAATCATGCTTCTCTGAGGTTCATTACAAACTGTAAAGCAGGGGTCACCAACATTTTTGAAACCAAGAGCTTGGGTAGTGATTAATGCGAAGGGCTACCAGTTTGTTACACACTTAAATAAATTGCCAGATATGGCCAATTTGCTCAATTTACCTTTAATTCTATGTTTTTACTAATAATTAATGATATTTATTTTGTGGAAAAACTTTTATATTTTCTCTAAGTGCACATTTTTCAAATTTAACAAATGATCACTTCTAAGACAGTCCCATTTAATCGCAATTAATCACATTTTAATCGCATATAAATATTTGACCTGAGAACAGTGAGAAGTCATTTTTTTCACATGGATTTTTAGTTTACCATTGAATAATGACTGAATACATGAGGCTTAAGCAACACATGTTAATATGGAGTTTAAGGGATAACTTCTAAACATCAAATAACGTTTCTGTCATTGCCTCCACACTCTGACGACAACATATGCTCCTCCTCCTCCTCCTCACACTGACGACAACATATGCTCCTCCTCCTCACACTGACGACAACATATGCTCCTCCTCCTCCTCCTCACACTGACGACAACATATGCTCCTCCTCCTCCTCCTCACACTGACGACAACATATGCTCCTCCTCCTCCTCCTCACACTGACGACAACATATGCTCCTCCTCCTCCTCCTCACACTGACGACAACATATGCTCCTCCTCCTCACACTGACGACAACATATGCTCCTCCTCCTCCTCCTCACTCTGACGACAACATATGCTCCTCCTCCTCCTCCTCACACTGACGACAACATACTCTTTTTAAGCCCAAAATCCACTGCACACGCTGTGAGCACTAAAGCTGGGCATGCGCTGTTTGCTAAAGCTTTTATAATACGTTTTTGATGTGTGCATTCGGAGTAAACATCAGCATTAGCAGCTCACACAACTGTGTCTCGCTCCTCCTTCTCCTCCTCCTCCTCCTCCGCTCACACAGGAGTCACTGCTCCTCCTCCTCACACACAGAGTCCATCGCTCCATACACAGCGCTCATTCCCGTCTAATTTACTCGAATTTAAAGTTGGTCTCTGCTTGTAATAATGTACTTTTGAACAAGAAAAGTCACGGAGCTCCGGTTGGTGCGTCAGTTCAATTGGTCCGTCTGAAACTTATTCAGTGAGGAACGTTCCGCGGTGCAAAATACATACGATTAAAATGCGTAATTTTTTTAACGCGCTTTTTTGTGTGTAATGAATTAATCTTTATTAACTTGTTAAAGTCCCGGCTCTAGTTTATATGCCATTTGTAAGTTGCATGTAAGTATGATTTAAACAAGAATAGCACTGGTAAGTGCTGCCATTTGAGCTATTTTTAGAACAGGCCAGCGGGCGACTCATCTGGTCCTTGCGGGCGACCTGGTGCCCGCGGGCACCGCGTTGGTGACCCCTGCTGTAAAGCCTCAAAACTCACTGTCATTTGTATTCTCGAGTGGGAAGGCCTTCATCGTCTTTTATCCTTTTACTGTTTAAAGTTAATGCACTTAATGCCCACGCCAAGCAGGGCTGGGCCTCGTTAGTACCTCCGGGAACACAGTTTGCCACAGTAGTGCCAAACTATTGTTGCGTCCTTAGGCAAAACACTTTCCCACATTGCGCACAAGTTTGGTGTGTGAATGAAAATGGTATAACGGAGGGGCCGATAGTTCAGGTGAGTTTCCTCGTATAAGGACAACGGTGGCTAAAGACTTGATGTCGACCACCACTGCGCAGAAGGTGAATGAAAAATGCCACAAGGTGCAAGTCCAAAAATTTGCTAAAATGTATTACTATTATCACGTAAAACATTTATCTTCTCCACGCATCCAGCAAGTTGGCAACAAATTATTAAATCTAAGCTGACGTAACTCATTGGACTCACTTAAAACAATATTTACCGGAAATAAATCCTTTGTGTGATTTTGTCAGTCTGGCAGTGCATTAAAGTAACAGTAAATGGTACCAAGTATATTGTAGGTGAAGTGCTTTGCCTAAGAACACAAGAAGGCTATTGTTTGCACTTTAGAGTCACATCCGTCCTCTATTGCGCCAGTATCACAACTGTCTCCCATCCAAGTGAACAGATCCAGACTGTCGCTTCATGCATCTGTAAGACACATTCTAGTTTTGGCACTGCACTTCTCTCTACTGGCGTGTCAAGGAAACAATTCAAAAGTCCTTGTTCTGATCAATGATACAGTTAAGGTCTATTCAGTCTATACAGTTAGTTAAAAATGAAAACAACAATAGATAAATAATTCAGTGAAAAAAAAAGACAATTAGGGTATTAATAATCTACAGGGCTGACTTGAAACCTAGCTCTGACTAAGCAAACACATACAACATAATAATGCTGAAAAAAACTGCAAAATCCACACAGAAATTTGAAAAAAAGATAACAAAGAATGATCTCATATTTGATAAACCCTGGAAAAAATGTTTTTGAATAAAAACCAGAGAAGCAGAGGCACAGTCAAACGAATAAGTTTGTGACATGTTAGTGCCATACGAACCAACGGACTCTGAGGAGCAGGGACTAGCCTCCTGCTACTCAGAGTCTGAGTTGCCGGCCCATGTTTATTCCTGACATTCGGGGAGGAGTCAGGAATAAACATGGAGCAGCAGCTTTTTAGATTTATGCTAAAACATGGGAGAGCCGTCCTGAAAATATGAGACAGGATTTTTCGCTGTTCAAATCCAGGTTAAAAACTATTCTGTTTTGCTAAGAATAACCAAAGGATTGCATCGTCACTATTTTGTGTACTGTGATTTTTATTTTATTTGAATGCCTTGTGTTACTATATGGTGTTTTGGTGTTTTGTTTTTTTCAGCACTTTGAGTTGCCTTGTGTATGAACTGTGTTATACAAATAAACTTACCTATGGTTGCAAACACAATACCATGACTCACTCATATAGTATTGTGTATAGTAGCACCAAGGGAGATATTAATTTAAATAGTTCGTTTCTAAAGTCAGTGGACACAATATTATAAATGATAATGTGCATGACTATACGAAGTTTGGTTATATAGTCTGACAGTTTTAGGAAGAAAATTAATAAGTGCAAATATGCGCGCTCCCGCAACGCACAAGATGGCCGCCGACTCTTCCATCTAAACTTCTAAAAGCGCTTTCTAGTGTAACTTTGTAGCCACAGCGCATCTTAATATGACCGCAGCTGGACCGCTTATGACCAAAAGTTTCAGTGTTTGGCTTTTCTACGAGTTTGGTTTCATCAGAGATCCAGGAGAGGAGTTTTTAACACTTTAACACTTGCACAAAAACTGCAATGTTTATGCGACATCACGGAGAGACGTCGCCTCCTAATGACGTAGGATTGTTTTGAGATCCAAGCTTTTGACCACACTCGGCGGATTTTCCCACTTTACAGGTGAATTCAGACTTGTATTCGGTCGTGTGTATCTTGTATGTATTATTTCATCATTGAACTTACAGTTAGGTGCATGCCTTAAGTTAAAATGGACTAGAATTATAGGTTACAAAGGTGTAAGTCATGAGTCTAAACTGGGATAGTTTCATGCTAATAGTAATAGTAATAGTAATAGTGATAGTAATAGTAATAGTAATAGCTCAGTTGGTAGGGCGTTGGGCTTTGAGCCAGAAGGTCGTGGGTTCAAGCCCCGCTCTAGACTTTCAGCATCGACTCCCACTGACTACTGTCGTTGTGTCCTTGGCAAGACACTTAACCTCTGGGAACACCAGCCACAGTGGGGCGGCTGCGGCTGTAAAGTGCCAAACTGCCGTTGTGTCCTTAGGCAAGACATTTCACCCCCATGATGTGGTTGGTGGTGGTCGGAGGGGCCGATGGCGCATACTGGTTGCCTTGCTTCTGTCAGTGTGCCCCAGGGCAGCTGTGGCTACAGTAGTAGTTTATCACCACCGTGTATGGAGTGAATGAATAATGACACATGAGTGTCCAAAAAAGCGCTATATAAAACTGATGCATTATTATTATTATAAGCTCTTCCACATATCTGTAATGAAATATTTGTAACTAGGGCCTACCTTTCAATAATATGTGGTTATATTACTAGTTTTGACGTACACATGTTTGCTTTGGAGCAGCTTTTTTAAGTTCTAGCCTCTCTTCCAATCAGCTGTCAGTATGTAAAAGACACAACACTTTGGAATAACTTTAAGGAAGCAACATGTATTTATGAAACAAAAAGTTTTGCTCCAACTTTAATTATGTTTGTCTTTACAGATGTCTTCCTTATGTGGGATCAATGACGCCTCAGACTTATGCTCAGCCACAGAGATGCAGGTCAGACTCTCCAGCATGTTCATGTTTAAGAACAGTTTTTTGCCTTGCCTTTATTTCATGCTTTTTATTATCTGTAATATTACACCAGTCTCTTAAAACTAAAACTGGCAAAAAGTTAAAAACATTATTCATCAGAACTAAGTATGTAATGCTAACCAATGGAGTATTGCATTCTATATACATTGCATTGAATCATAAGCACTGTTGTCATGTGGTATAGGATGCAGAACACCCACGGGTCCTGATCCCTGAGCTGTGCAGACTCTTCTACCAACTGGGATGGGTCACTGGCACTGGGGGAGGCATCAGTCTCAGGAAAGGGTCAGTACCTGATCTCTTGTTAATTTAACATTTTTGTTTCCTTTATAAATATTTTTTGTTTTCTTTGTAAATCAGCACAATTGCAGATCCGTATTCTTTAGACCAGTGAGATGACTGCTGAAAAGAACATTCAAATCTAAATATAATCTGGAGAACTGGTATCAAGCATAGATCTTTTCAAATTTGTTTTTTTGCAGTGATCACATCTACATCGCTCCGTCAGGCGTTCAGAAAGAGAGAATACAGGTGAGGACAAACTGCTCAATACTGCTGCTACATAAACCATTCCCCTCCTATGTCCTCTAATATGTGCTTATGGTTCACTCACTCAGATATTGCGTTTTTACCAATAAAACATTTTATTTGCAAAAGAGCGGACACTAACAACAATCATTAGTGACAGCCCTAAAAAGCTTATTTTACTTGACGCTTCTGTACACACGGCTCAGACTGTTGGCTTTTCCTTCAGCCTGAGGACATGTTTGTGTGTGATGTGGAGGAGCGAGACGTCAGCTGTCCTCCCACCTGGAAGAAGCTGACCAAGAGCCAGTGCACGCCGCTCTTCATGAACGCCTACATCATGAGAGGTACTTCTGCACCCAGACTCTGGAGCAATCTGTGCCGTCTGCTCCAGGAAACACTATTCTCATAATAACATTGTTTTTTTTAAAGCGCTTTTCAGGACACTCAAAGACGCTTCACATTATTCTTTCACTCCATACATGGTGATAAATTACACAGTACTAACCAGGCTCTGTTGTGCTCAGCTTCAGAGGTCTGACGAGATTGGGCTGTTGCACACAAGTATGGCCTCATGTTTGTGTGTTTCTGTAACCTCCATCATGTTTTAGGTTGGGGTGTTTTTATCCAAATCAGGCAGACAATGGATCGGATTGACACAATAATTACTATATAGCAAGCGCTGGTTTAGAGTGGGAAAGGCAGGGAAGACTATCTTATTAGCTTTTATTGTAACTAGAAAATAAATATTTGAATAGAACAATTGGATTTCCTGGTCAAATCAGAATGTCCAACAAGCCACATGCCTAAAATTCATCGTTTTGCTAGTACATTTGCTATTTTTTTTGCAATTTAGTATAACTTTATTGAGCTCACAGTGAATAAATGTGCAAACACGTTAAAAAGTAAGAAAGATAATAGGTATCTTGTGTGCAATAAAGGTATCTTATGTCAAATTAAAAGTTCAATGGCAGTGCAAAGTTCATAGAAATAGTACATATATAGTAAGTAATCTTTATTTATATACCGCCTTTCACAGACCAGAGTCACAAAGCGGTTTACAATTGTTATTATTTTTGGGCATTTGTCCTCTCACTCCTCACAGAGATGGGAGCGGGGTCGCCGAACAGGAGGCACATGCACAGTCCTATTGTACATATTTTTAGTGGTAGGGGAAACCGGAGCACCCGGAGGAAACCTACACAGACACGGGGAGAACATGCAAACTCCACTCAGAAAGGCCCTGGTCCGACCGGGATTCGAACCCAGGACCTTCTTGCTGAGAGGCGAGAGTGCTACCACTCGAGAGTGCATCCACTCAGCCACCATGCCGCTCACTATACATACAGTATATAGTCAGTGGCAGTTACTAGTATATTTTTACTGTACAGTAAGGCAAGATAAGGCTAGTTTATTTGTATAGCACAATTCATACACAAGGCAACTCGAAGTGCTTTACAAAACAAAATGGAGGCAGTCATACAAGGTATTCAAATCATAATAAATCACAATACATTAAAAAGAGTGAAGATAAAATCCCTCAGTTTTATGCACAGCTAAAGAGAACTGTTTTTTTTTTCCTGGATTTGAATATCGTCAGAGAAGAAGCCTGTCTCACATTCTCAGGAAGACTGTTCCAGATTTTAGCTGTGTGAATCTGAACTCCCCAGTGCAAGAAGAAAGTGTAATTCTGTCAGGGATGGGACAGAAAGAAATATCCTGCTGCTGTTTGACCATCATGACCAAAAAGGCCACAGTATGAAGGCTTATTTTCTGCCCTGTGTGCGTTTGTGTGTTTGTGTGTGCGTTTTTGCGTTTGTTCTTTGTTGAAAAATAACTAGAAATACTGATAACAAAAAAGTAGTTATTTCTCCTTTGTCATGTTTGGGCAACTGTCCAATCATTGGCAAAAACAGACCAATTTGGGGAGAAGAATAGAACTATTCCTGGGTGTCAGCTTCCTGTTCCATACAACATTTGAGGACCATTTTCCCAGTCAGAAGATAAAGCCTTTTTCTTTTTCAATCGTCAATTACGATGGCAGCGGTCCTCATCTGTCATCCCTCTGCCTACAACAGAGGCGCAAAAACAGGAAGGCATCAGGCTATTATGGATCATGTTTATTGTCATTGTGTATGGAACGATAGGCTCATAATGTAAAAGTATCTTTGTGGATGATCGTGTTTTAGCTTCCTACAAATAGCAACATTTATTTATGTATTTATAGAACAGGGGCCATGCATTATAATGGACATTGTTTGAAAATGTGCTAGTTTTAGCAACAAAGTTAGTTCTCCACTGTAGTCCCAGTGCATGGTGCATTGCCATTTCAATTCAGTTCAATTCAAATTTGCCAACACAGATCAGAGAATCAAACAGTTCCAACACAAGAAATGCAAAGATAAAAACACATACTTGTGGACCTCCATTTGTCGATAAGGAGCAGAGACAATGTTCATAAAGGTGATAAAGTCCATGAATGTTGTTGAATGTGGAGTTTCCTGGATCATCGCCTGGATTATTTGTATTCACACACATACCTGCATGTGAAAGCCAGATCCCTTCAGGCCTCTGAAGCTGTGCCAGGCAGGGCATGGTTAGTACTGTGATGGGAGACCTCTGGGAGCACCAGGTACCACACTGGGGTGGCTGTAAAGGTTCAGACAGTTGTTGTGTCCTTAGGCAAGACACTTTCCCCATATTAGAATTTGTCTGTGTGGGTGAATGGTTGGTGGTGGGAGGGGCCGATGGTTGCCTCGTTTCTGTCAGTGTGCCCCAGGGCAGCTGTAGCTACAGTAGTTGTTTATCACGACTGCGTATGAAGTGAAAGAATAATGACATGTGAAGGGTCTTTTAGTGTCCATAAAAGCACTTCATAAAACGTATTCATTATTATTATTATTAGAATTATAATTAAGGTTTTATGTGATTCCATCAAAAGCCAAATCCGCCCTCATGGTATTTCATTATATACCATTGTATCTTAATATCACAGTTTTCAGCACATCCTTAGTTTCAGTTTTAGTCAAAGATGTATTTAATTTAACAGAAAAACTCCAGAGCAGTCAATTACTCAGCTTATGTACATTTATGGTCTTCCTAACTTTATGACCTAATATTTTTATGTAATTATCTTTTCTGAAATTCTCTTCTAACCGTTTCCCGTTTCTTTTAAATGGGAAGTTCCAAGGTTTCCATTTTTGGTTCTTAGAGCTTTATTTTTTTTTCAAGGTGCTGGTTTTGAACTGGTTCTGGCTCAGATCATTTTCCACCAGAGAAGACAGAGTGCTGGTTACCATAGCAACACACTGTTGACAGTCGGTATATAGTGTTTAGCCTTTATTTTTCAAGTTATATTCACAGGTTTAACACTGAAAAAAGTGAGTGAAACCTGATGAATCTGATGAAAAACCCTATATATTGCTTATTTGGTTGCCTTGTGGGAGTCCTAGTGTTAAGTCGTCTCATAAGCCCATGTTGTGTGCGGCAGGTGCCCAGGCGGTGATCCACACTCACTCCAAAGCTGCGGTCCTGGCCACGCTGCTGTACCCTGGCAGAGAGTTCCGCATCACACACCAGGAGATGATCAAAGGCATCCGCAGGGGCAGCTCCACAACCAGCTACAGGTGAGCCGGAGGAGGGCTGCTATAGTCCCAATCAGATACTCATGGATAGTAATATTTTGAATGTCTGCTTGTTGGGACCCTAGTCTGTTGTATGTGAATAATGTAAGTGATAGATAGATACTTTATTGATGTCCAGCAGCAGAAAACTCATCCAGGTCTGTTGTACAGTCTGACAGCCGAAGGAACAGAATCAGAATCAGAATCAGAATCATTTTTATTGCCAACGTAAGTAACGGGAGGTCACAGACTTGGAAATTGCTTTGGCTCAGTGCAACAGTCAAAAAGAGATAATAAAAATAAGAATAAAAAACACTTCTAAAGAATAAATTTAAATTTAAAATAGAGTTACAGTTACTATTTACAATATACAAGTGCACATGGTGCACACAATGTAAGGTGACAGCAGTACAGTGAAGTAAAGTGACGTATGATGGGCAGTAAAGTGACTTTATAAAGGGCGGGGGGACAGGTTAAGAAGTGTTCAAGAGTCCAACAGCAGAGGGGAAGAAACTGTTCTTGTGGCGGGAGGTTCTAGTCCTGATGGACCGCAGCCTCCTGCCTGAGGGGAGTGGTTGGAATAGTCCATGTGCAGGGTGAGAGGGGTCGGCTGTGATACGACCAGCCCGGCCTCGAGCTCGGGCGACGTACAGGTCCTGCAGCGATGGAAGGCTGCGGCCGATCACTTCCTCTGCAGAGCGCACAATGCGCTGTAGTCTCTGTTTGTCCCTGACTGTGGCTCCAGCGAACCACACGGTGATGGAGGAGGTGAGGATGGACTCGATGATGGCCGTGTAGAACTGCACCAACATCTGTGCAGGCAGCTTGGCTTTCCTGAGCTGCCGCAGGAAGTACATCCTCTGCTGGGCCTTCTTGATGAGGGAGCTGATGGTCGGCTCCCACTTGAGGTCCTGGGTGATGGTGGTGCCCCAGGAAACGGAAGGACTCCACAGAGGTGATGGGGGAGTCCATCACGGAGGGTGGGGGCGGGGGGACAGTGCTCTTCCTGAAGTCCACAATCATCTCCACTGTCTTCTGGGCGTTCAGCTCCAGGTTGTTACCACTGCACCAGGACACCAGCCGGTCCACCTCCCTCCTGTAGGCGGACTCATCGTTGTTGGAGATGAGTCCAATGAGGGTAGTGTCGTCCGCGAACTTGATCAGCTTCACGGAGTCGTGGCTGGAGGTGCAGTGGTTGGTGTACAGGGAGAAGAACAGGGGAGAAAGAACACAGCCCTGTGGGGCTCCTGTATTTATAATCCGAGAGTCCGAGACATTCTTCCCCAGACGCACTCGCTGCTTCCTGTCCGTCAGGAAGTCAGTGATCCACCTGCAGGTGGAATCGGGCACGTTGAGCTGGGAGAGCTTGTCCTGGAGCAGGGATGGCAGGATTGTGTTGAAGGCAGAGCTGAAGTCCACGAACAGGACCCTGGCGTAGGTCCCCGGGGAGTCCAGGTGCTGTAGGATGTGGTGGAGGGCCAGGTTAATGGCGTCGTCTACAGATCTGTTGGCTCTGTAGGCGAACTGCAGGGGGTCCAGGAGGGGGGAGGTGAGGGACTTGAGATGGGAGAGAACCAGGCGTTCAAATGACTTCATGACGACAGACGTAAGTGCTACAGGTCTGTAGTCATTGAGTCCTGTGATCCTGGGCTTCTTCGGGACGGGGACAATGATGGAGGATTTGAAGCAGGCCGGGACATGGCAGGACTGCAGAGAGGTGTTGAAAATGTCCGTGAACACAGGAGTAAGCTCACTGGCGCAGTGTCTCAGAGTGGCCGGAGACACGTGGAACAGAGGATCTCTGTTGGATACCTGTTGCCACAATTATTACTCTGAGTGGCCATAGTGTCATTGTGATGTGCTGGGAGCTCCCCATTTATGTGAGTCTATTCAGAAATTAATGATGTCTTGTCTGTAATAAGGTCCTGTGTCCTGAATGTTCAAGGAAAAGGTTTTGGCATTTCAGTTAATGTGCAGTCTTATTTTCTTAATTTTTTGGGATATATTGCAAAAAAAAAAGTGTGTCTGTTGCTGATTGTGCAGTGTTTGAGTGTGAAGTGTTTGACCAAATTACAAAAGTTCAACTCATTACTTTATAATGTATTCTTTGTTGGTTTGTTGGTTGCAAATACTGTAACTGGGATATTAGTCCATTCTTCTCTAGAGCAGTGTTTTTCAATCTATGTGCACAAGTCCATTGCCGGGCTGTGAGCCAGTGTTAAAGAGACCGACAGCTGGACAGAGAAAAGCAGAGCCAACGCTCTGGGTGCTCTGTGGAGCCCTGCCCTATAAGTGTAGGAGGAACCACATGTTCAGCCTTGGATTTACATCCCAAACTACTGAGCTGGAGATAAGGTGAGAGCCGCCCTGCGCATTCCCTACCTGTGGTTAAAAGACTCTCAGATATACGATACACCTGGTTCGTCCTCCATTCTTTCTCTTTACAGATTCAGATTCATTTTATTAGCCATCTGCAGTGAAATCACATTGGAATACATTTGCAAAAGTCCCCAGAGTGCACCAGACAAACTTTACGGACTTTTCGCTCCTGTCTTCATCTTTGCTGATCTTCAAAAATCCAAAGCAAAGTGTGTTCTCCGGCCCATCAAAAAGTCCCTTCTCATGAATTTCTGTGAGTCAGATGGTGGACTGAGTAAGACAAGATATTGTGAAAGAAAATTAATAATTGACACAAACTTCCCTCTGGAGTTATGGGGAAGTGATACTGGGTAAAACCATCAAGCACTCGTATGGCTTCACTTTTGTTGGATTGGATCTTGGCCAAATGTATCAATAATATTAAGGCCCTAATGCACATTCACTATGAACATCTTCCAACGTTAGACATTTTTTGGAGGAAATTTAATTCAGGCACGTGGAAATGTTCAAATATCAAAGATTTTGTTTATGATCGTTCAAGAACAGATATTGATATTCTGTAATAGTCTGTTACTGATAGAATCCTTGAAGAAACACAGATCGAAATGAAATCCGTTGCCTTAAACTGTAGATTGTGGCCATAGAGGTCAGAGATTTGATGATGTGATTATCCCTAATGAGAAAATCTCCCTTATAACAAAGATCTAGTTGTTGCTTCACATAAAAGGTTTAACCCAAAGAGATAAGAAAAAAATCAAAGCAACAACAGTGAAATCGTACGAAATGAATGATGCAAAAAACAATAAAAAACAAAGAATTATGAAAACAAAAACATAATTTTTTTTTATTTAATTTGTACATGTATGAAGAAAGGGGCAGGCAACATAAGATTTTTTTTTCTTCTTTCTGCTCCTTTTCATTTGTGCGACAAGACGACAATTATTTGAAATTTAATTGTAATATGTGTAGTATTGTTTTTGTCCACAATTTGAAACAAATAAATAAATGAATAAATGCATAAATATAAAAGAAGACATTTAATGACACTTAACTGTTACAAGATACATGCAGACATAACAGAAACTAACCCATACATAAACACAACGGCCCAAGGTGGGTTAGCTGGCCTTCCTGCTAAATGTTGTCTTTTTTGTGTTTTTGACTAATTTATGAACACGATTTAAAGGGGTTTGGGTGTGATGAATCTATCTCTCTTACTATGATTATATATCGGATGTATTCTTTGATAATCCTGGGATGGGTTCCACTTTTTATGTAAGGAGTTGGCGTGCAATATGTATTGTTCTTTTAACACCTATAAACGTTGTGGCCCTCTGCAGCTCCTCAAACAGACGTCTTTTGTTGTCCCCTGAGATTTGCCGATGCGTTTGTGGCGCCCGTGCTTGTTCAGGAAACCACTCCACTCTGGCGTGTCGGCTCTTGCGATCTTGCGACAGTTTCACCCACACTTTCTCACAGGCACAGACTTGTTCAGATCTGGCTTTCTCTCGGTTACATCTGTGGATTTCGGTGGAGCTCACCCCACACCTTTACATTTACAGCCTTTTGCAAGACCCGTTTTGTTAGAGAAGCCTTTTCCAATTTCCTCATCCAAATCAGCATCTATTGTCGGTGGGTGGGGTTATTGAGTACAGCCGACAATCCGACATGCTCCTACGGGTGAAGAAGACTGTGGCAAGAAACGGTCACCAATGCTTTGTCCGCTGACTCAAAACTGCAATTATTAAAGCTGTAAAACATTACTGCTTTTACTGCAAATGGAAAATAAAAAAAATGGTGTTCTGTGTGTGGTGTAATGTGACCGAGGCTGTTGAATGTATTCAGTTAGACTTTACACAACCGTTGAATTTGTCAACACAGATCAGAGAATCAAACACAAGAAATAAAACAGAAAACATTGGAATTGGTCCATAAGAAGCAGATGACCAATGACCACAAATGTTGATAAATGTTGTTGAATGTCGAGTGTCGTGGATCATCAGCACTGTCCTTTTAGTTGGACTTCACAAGGCTCTAACAGACCCTCCTGCATCAGCAAGGACCAACTCTAAACCCAGTGTGAAAAGTGAGAAACCACGGAGGCCCATATTGGATGATGATAAAGATTTACATTCAGTCACCACTGGAGATGGGAGGATCAGTCGATGTTGGTACCGTGATATAACAACTTTATATGACGACATCTTTATTTTACAAGGGCTATCAGGGCTATTTTTATCAGGGCTTGGAAAAATGTCTATTTCGTTTTTGTTTTTTATGATTGAAAAAACACTTGGTTAAATTTGTGCATATTTAAGCCAGATTTTCAAATTAAGAACCACACGGCTTACTCCCATTGATAAAAAATAAAGTTTTTCCACCTAAAAACCTCAGGTCTTCTCTTCTTTAGCACACTGAGCAACACGGTCTGCAGTGTTGGAAGAAACTCAAGGTCATATTTTTGCTGCGGCGTGTCCAGTGTAAACTTTCCAATCAAATACAGAGGGCAATATACCCAAACAGTCTTATTTTCCATTGCTTGCATGTGGACCCTTGTGAGGGTCTAACAAAAAGGACAGTGGTGATGATCCAGGACACTCAACATTCAACAACATTTATGGAAATGTATCAACTTTTGTGGACATTGGTCTCTGCCTCTTATGGACCAATGGCTTTATGTCTTTTTTTTATCATTGCATTTCTTGAGTTTGAACTGTGGAGAATTTCTCCAAGAAAACTACTGTTTTGATTTAAGGCTATACTAGAATTAATTTAATTGAAATGATTGTGGGTCAAGTGACGAAGGTTAAAAACTACACACATTTTTGAAAGTCTAAAGTTATATAGACTTTTTTGTGTTTCCCCATTGGATCATAATACTGGTCAGTCAATAATCAGGTCCATTTCTGCCAGTCCTGTGCTATAAATCAGGAATGTTCTGCTTTTGTTCCAAAAACCCTCTGAATTGGTGCGATACTGCATTTTTTGAATTGAGCAGATTTCTCCAGTTGAACGATGTGTGTGCTGTGTGCAGATATGACGACATGCTGGTGGTGCCCATCATAGAGAACACTCCAGAGGAAAAGGACCTGAAGGAGCGCATGGCCCGTGCTATGGAAGAGTACCCCGACACCTGTGCAGTCCTGGTGCGGAGACATGGGGTGTACGTGTGGGGGGAGTCCTGGCAGAAGGCCAAGACCATGTAAGTTGTGGAAGAGACGATCTGTGGCATTTAAAAATGTATTTAACACTTATTTCTCCCTGTTGCCTCGGTTACTACAACCGTATACCACACAAAAATACTGCCTTGTATCTCTGAAAGTCAGCGAAGTGAAGGCTGCGGACTGTCAGCTGTGTTTGTGGCAGATGCTACACAGGCTAGCACATTTTTTCCGTTCCTTTTTTAGGCATTTTCTTCTCTTGGCTCCTGGCCCCAGGTCACATGTTTGAACTTCTGTACATACTGTACATGTGCCAGGTTGCATTCTCAGAAACGCCAATTGGCACCTGTTACTGTACCGTGGAACAAATCACTGAGTGACAGTCTCAAGCCAGTAGCTGCCAAACTACAGAAGGCACTCCCCTGAATCTTCCTCAGAAGACTCACTTACTAGTGTAGTCTTGCTTCTCAGTGAACGGCGCTCTATAAATAAAGCCTTCTTACTTACTGTGCAGGGCAGTTAATCATAAGCAATAATAACAGTAAGCCTGAGAAAACAACCAGGCACTGAGGTTTACAGGAGCAACTCAGGAGCAGCAGTGTTCATAAAAGAGTGTGTTTGTTAGTATTGCATTTTCTGTGTTTGAGCAGTTTGATTCTCTGATCTGTTGTTGGTGAATAGACAACTTTGCAAAGTCCTCTGATGACTGCTGCTGTGATTTAGGACTTTACAAAAATAACTTTTAATTGAATCGACCATTTAGATACAAGCTATTCCTCCATTATCTTCCAGTTTTTAGAACAAAATCCCACATACTGACCACAGATAAATCCTCTCTCTTCACACCGACAGCTAAAATGCTCTTTTATTGCCTTTAGTTTCTGCCTAAGTCAGAGCCATACAGCAAATCTGCAGAACTCACTCTGCAGTGGCGTTCAGGTGCAATCCGTTGTGACCGACTCGATCGATCTAATCCACTGAAGAATATTGGCTCCGTGCTTCTCATGTGGGGATAACTCTGTGGAAAACAACTGTTAATGGAATGCACCCAATCAAAGCTTTATTGTCTCATACCTTCAATGGTGGACAGTTTGCCAAACACATATATTTAGTATTTATCCAGGGTTTGAAAGTGTGCAAAATGACTAGCACCCCTTAGATCACAAGTTTAAAAAAAGTAGGATGTAGTTCTCCGTGAGATCAGTACAGAGATATACTGTAGATATAGATTTGGATGTAGAAATATCACGACCTGTTTTAGAAATAATATACCATAACATCTTCCCATCCGGCCGACTACTTTTAAAGTGAGGTATAACATGCTATAATAGCTAATTTTCTTAAACGTAACTATAACTTAACAACAAATCTGCTTAATTCAAAGAGTAACTGATTCAAACACTCTTTTAAAATGACTTTATATAGTGAAAAAATCAATCAAATATGTACAAAAATACATTGTAAAAACAAAATTAATAAAATACCCAAAAGATTAGCTATGAACAAAACTTTGAATGTTTATTATATTATTATTTGCCTAGAATGAGTCTGTGTGTGTGTGTGAATGGTTGGTGGTTGTCAGAGGTATGCCCCCAGTGTGCCCCAGGGCAGCTGTGGCTACAGTAGTAGTTTATCACCACCGTGTTTGGAGTGAATGAATAATGACATGTGAAGTGTCTTTTAGTGTCCAAAAAAGCGCTGTATAAAACTGATGCATTATTATTTTATTATCTATGATGTTAAATAATAGATCCTGTTTGATGTGTGCATAATCTGAGTGCTCTTATTGTCTCTATTTTCAATGAAAGTTTACTTCCATTAATCCCTTCCTTCTGTGCCCTCTGCTCAGGTGCGAATGCTACGACTACCTGTTCAACGTGGCCGTGCAGATGAAGCAGTGCGGCTTGGATCCCGCCGCTCTGCCCACAGAAGAGAAGGGCATCGTCTGACCCCCCTCCCCCACCCGCTGCTTACCCACAATCCCACTGCTCCCGGCCTACAGGAAGAACAGACCGCAATCACTGGCCTTTTACTGTGGCCGCGGAGCCCTGATGAGGCCAAAGAATGGGACGTAAACTATGAGACATTTGTACGAAGGCAGCGAGGGTCGGTTAAAATACAGCAAAATTCTGGTTTTACATTTACATTCACCAAAAAGCAAGATGCAGATTTGAGTGGATTCAGAATGAATAAAGATCTCAGGCATGTCTATCGTTTCACACAAGTTTCTCAGACTTGTGTTGATAAACCATCACCACTCTACTTGTTGGGTCTGCCTTCTCTCTCTAGTCTCTCTCTCTGGTCTCGCTCTGTTCTCTGTTTCTCTAGTCTCTCTCTCTCTGGTCTCTCTCTGATCTTTCTGGTCTCTCTCTCTGGACTCTCTCGGGTCTGTCTCTGTTCTGTTTCTCTGGTCTCTCTCTCTGGACTCTCTCGGGTCTGTCTCTGTTCTGTTTCTCTGGTCTCTCTAGTCTTTCTGGTCTCTGGTCTCTATGATCTCTGGTCTCTCTATGTTCTCTGTTTCTCGGGTCTCTCTCTGGTCTCTCTCTCTGGACGCTCTCTCTGGTCTTTCTGGTCCCTCTCTCTGGACTCTCTCTGGTCTCTCTTCTTACAAATACAATACTCTTTAAGTAAAGATGTTTGTTCATACTGTAACTTTTCTTTAGAGTTGTTTCTCGGGAGGGCCTGCAGGAGGGTCTAAGGACAGTGGTGATGATCCAGGACACTCGACATTCAACAACATTTATGGACATTGGTCTCCGGCCCTTATGGACCAATGGCTCTATGTGTTTTTTATCATTGCATTTAATTGTGTTTGAACTGTTCAATTCTCTGATCTGTGTTGGCGAATTCAACGGTTTCGTTAAGTCCTCTGAGATAACTGCTGTTGTGATTTAGGGCTATACAAGAATACATTGAATTGAATTGAAAGTATGTTTTTTGGCCACACATATTTAGATCAGCTAAAGCCAGTACCAGGCCTCACTTGGCCAATCAGCTCTCGGATAAGAGAAAATAAACTGTATTGATCTCAGAATGGATGAATTTACATGACACATTTAAATGTGCAAACATGTTACAAAGGTTCAACAAAGTCTCAAGATATACTGTATTATGTACCATAAAGAAATTAAAAGATTCTGTAAGCATATTATGTTCTGAAATGCTTTCTCTTTTGTTTAAAAAGGCATTATGCAAGATTTTAGAATATTTCTGATTCCATACAACAACACAGCTCGTTCTACAGCCTGAGTCCTGGAGTCTGTGGGAGTGGATCCCACAGACAATGTGGACCTCCTCACGGTTTCTCTGGGTCTTTTTTAATTGTTCCTTGTCCATGCTGGAGGATCTAAGGACAGTGGTGATAATCCAGAACATTTCCTGTGTTTGAACGGTTTCATTCTCTCATCTGTGTTGGCAAATCAACAACTTTGTAAAGTGCTCTGAAGTAACCATACTGTTGTGATTTAGGGGTATTTTTCTCTCCTAGTGCAAGTTTATATTTCTAAGTAACATTTTGTGAACAAAAAGAGACCACATAATTCTGTCTTTATCTTATGTGTTTAAAAACCTTTTGAGTCGTAGACACTGAGAGCTGATTGGCTGAGTGAAGGCCCTTGCTCAGCCAATGAATGAAAAATATAGTTGTTGAGCCGAGTTACATGGATTCCCATACATATTTATTATATGTAATTTTTCAGCTTTAACTGCCAACATACATGGGGCAAATGTCACTCAAATCCTGCACCTTGTCTGGTAAATAAAGATATATTTTATGGTTGTGAAGAGAGAAAGCAAAAATAAAACATCATACACTCACTTTAAGGATCAATAATCTGCAATTTCTGGAATCAATTTGTTGCCAACGCATCAGTCTCCTTGTTCTGTTCTCACAAAGGCAATCATGGAGCGTTTCTACTGCTTTTTACAACAAAAAACCTTTTCTTCTCTAATTCTCGCTGATATCCGCAGTTTTGAAAGGAGCTCGGTAAACTTGCTTTTTTCTTTTGGGAGCGACCCACTTGTGTCTTGAGAGAGACAGACACAAAACTGCTAACAATGGCTTTTTGTGGTTTGTTTGCTAATTCATGCAAATCTCCCAGTCTCCTCGTAGTCGTGCAGTTTGCGGAAAAAATGTCCTCTGTTCCTTCTCACTGTGTTCCAAGTGTCGCACTGTCTGATGCATGGATCCATCTGCCTTTTCCCAAACACACCCTCAACTATCATTTCATTACTTTCTACAAAACTCCCACCATCACAGTATTGTATGAAGGAAAGAAGTGTTAGAATTTAATTCAATTTAATTTAACAACAAATGCTTTATGTGTTTCATCAAAGGTAATGATAGAGATCAACAGTTTGGCTATGTTAAATGTAATGATTATTCATCTCACACATTCATCTCTGGTCTCTCTCTGGTCTCTCTCTCTGGTCTCTCTCTCTCTTTTCTCTGGTCTCTCTGGTCTCTCTCTCTCTTTTCTCTGGTCTCTCTCTGGTCTCTCTCTCTGGTCTCTCTCTGCCTTTTCTCTGGTCAGTCTCTGGTCTCTTTCTGGTCTCTTTCTGATCTTTCTCTGGTCTTTCCCTGGTCTTTCTCTGGTCTGTCTGTCTGGTCTGGTCTCTCTCTGCCTTTTCTCTGGTCTTTCTCTGGTCTGTCTGTCTGGTCTGGTCTCTCTCTCTGTCTCTCTGCCCGCCCCCCTGGTCTCTCTCTGGTCTCTCTGTTACCCCAAATGATCCACACAAGTTCATTTTGCTTGTCCCATTGGAAAATCTTATTTTAAGGCAGTTAATATGTGCTCAATTAAAGATACATTTTGCCAAATTTGAGCAATTTTGACCTATTTTTGCAGTGTAGTAGTTCCATTAAAACAGACCCCACGGAAATGTGTGAATCTTGAACAGCACAACTCGTTTGCACGTTCTGCTGTTTCCTGCCAAATCCATCTTCAGTGAATGTAATCTCGTCTAGGATTAGTAAACGTGCCGTGATAAGCCACATATCGCCATGGAGACATCAGAATGGTCGTCATGTCATGTCTTTCCCAGAGAATTAAATATACATGAGGAGATCAGAGGCCCCTGGAGTGGAGGAGAGGCCCTCTTCATGCATACATACAGAACCCAGACAATATATAGTCATCATTCACTTTAACACATTGGCTCACTGTAGATCTGTCATTGACCAGCAGGTGGCGTGTTGGAGTTGTGTTATTGTGGCTGCGTGTCTCTCACATCTGCAAAGAGGACAGGCTTTTTCCAAGAATCCAAGAAGGCAGTTTGTGATCTCTTTTTTAAATTGTGCTCTGATTTGAAAGACTTTATGTCAGGTTAGTGTGGAAAACGGCCGTGTACCTAAGAACCAGTGCCATGTTGTGAATGTGATACTTGAAGGTACAATCGAGGCTCATTAATCCACTGATTTATAATAATAATTATAATAATCCACTGGTTTTATACAGCGCTTTTTTTGGACACTCAAAGACACTTCACATGTCAATATTCATTCACTCCATAAACTACAAATGTTGCCACAGCTGCCCTGGGGCACACTGACAGAAGCGAGGCAACCTGTAATGAGGAGTATCTATATTTAGCTTGATAAAGAAACAAAGTATGAACACATATAAGGTATACACTTGTGTACTCTTCTGGTGCAAAGAAGTATATACATGTACATATACATCTGTAACACTTTTCTGTAGTGCGAGACTATTTAAATAATTATCCATATATCACAGTGGTGTCACTACTGTACATGTTTGCAGCACAAAGTTATGGGCCAGTGGAAACATGGGGTCGCATATTTCACATTGATGCTTAAAATGTGAGGTCAGGTTGGGAAATGTCAGTGTTGCATCACCAGTTACAGAACAGCAGGAATGAAGAGCACACAGGACAAGATAAATAAACAATAACGATACTGAAATAACTATGAATATCTAGCTTTAGCATAAAACAGTGTAAATGTGTAAAATGCTGTATATTCTAGTCCATGACATCTATAGTTGTGCGTTTACATCTGTACATGTTATTTCCTGTGATGTTATTTAGCAATTTTAGTTTTTTATGCCCTGCCAAATGAATTGTCCCTGGTGGGATATATAAAGTAGTCTGAATCTGATTATTAGCAGTACAAGGCTTTGGGACATTTACATTCCTATTGTATATTCTATTTTAATTTATTATTTTGTTAGCTCCCTCCGCCGACCTGAGCTGAGCTGGGTCATTACAGGTTTTACTTTCTTCACCACACATCATTATGAATACTAAAAGCTAAAAACCGCTGTTATTCAATAGTCCTTGTACACCGTGTACACACTCACACCTACTGGTCCCATGTTTCGCTGATGCAGGGTGTATTGATCTATTGTGGAGGAGATCCCAGAGGCGTTTTTTTACGATCTGTCCTCAACCTGTGTCCATCCGCCAAAGTGCTTACCCACAATCCATCTGCGTGTGCGGGCCCCGGGCAGCAGATAACAGCAGTGAGAGGGGGATCGATGGAGAAGGGCCCCTCGACTCTCAGCTACAATCAGGGCCAGGATTCATGCAGTACCAGGATTTGCAGTGACAGAACACAGAGATAAGAGAATACGGGTTGTGTGGAGCCAAGATGGGATTATTTATTGATTTATTCATCTATTTTGTTTGTGTTTGTGTATCTATTTACTTTTTGATTGATTGATTGTTTGATTTATTTATTTATTTATTTATTTGGATCCCCATCAGCGTCCACAATTGGGCGCAAGTCTTCCTGGGGTCCACTTCACAAAGGATAAAGATAAGATAAGATTTGCTTTATTTATCTCACATAGGAGAAATTTACATGTCACATTTGGCATGGATAGAACACTCAGATTGTGCAAAAGGAGGAAATGTGCAAACATGTAACATGCAGGATATATGTACAATAAAAGTGACAATAATTATGTGCAACAAAAGTGACAATTGGAAA